CTGGGGCCAGATGAAGCTGGAAAGGAGGGTTAGGGCAGAGGGTGGGGTCTTCAAACCCAAGCTAGGAAGTTAGCACATTATCTGAAGAGTTGCTGGAATCCCTGAAGGTGTTTAAGGAGGATCTTTTTTGAATGAATTAAAAAGCCAGGAGCTCTCAGGCTTGCAGCAAAGACATTAGTGAGATGAACTATAAGAAAGTTGAAAAAAAAAGTTTTACTTCTGTGTTCTAAGCACCCTTCTTGAATGTGTCACCCTGCTTTTCTTTGGGCTGAGCGCTCAGCCTGGACGCTTTTTCCAGGCTGTCTTTCTGCTAGGTCCAACAATTCAGCTAACTTTTTCCTAGCATCACCTCCGCCAGGATGCCTTCCTTAACGATTTAGACGTCAGTGCTTCCCGTCAGCACAGCCCTGAGCTTGCCATGTGCGCCGTTCACAGCATCACTGTTTGTTCATCAGTGTCCACCCACCCTTCCTCCAAAGTACCCGTGGAAGGAGTCGGAAGTAGGGGGCTGGAGAGAGAGGAAGTTGCAGAACCTTCAACTGCAAGGTGGCCCCCCTTCACCCCGCCCTCCCCAATTAGTCTGGGATTGGAGCTGGGCACTGCCACCTGCTGGCAGGAACTGGAATGGCAGACTGGATAGGGTTGGGAGAAAGGAGACCCCTTACAAGCAGTGAAGCCCACTTTGGCTTTTCTGAAGGCCAGTCACACAAGATCTAGCCGGATGGAGGGCCTAGGGGGGCCTGATGACCTCGGGTGGCAGAGCTGGGCTGATAACAGGAGGGAGGAACGAGCATTGATGGAACAGTGGCTCAGAGATGAGGACACAGTGTCCAAACCCATGGAGCTGCTGAGGCCAGAGCCCAGATCTTGGCCCCAAGCCAGACCAGTGGGGTTGTTACCCCACTGTTACCATGGGGACCCAGGGCTGTGTCCAGACAGCTGGGGAGATGACCCTCCTCAGCTGGATGAGGACACCTAGAGAGCAGGGACCAGCCTCAAAGCCAAGTGTCCACCCACACCCCCCTTTTCCGGAACAACTTGTTTTGCTCTGAAGCTTGGGACTTTGACCTGGGAGGTGTGTTTTTCTCCTGTTGGTCACCTGATGTCCTTCCTGCTCACCCCCCTCCCCCACCACCCCCAAAGCTTGGCCCAGGGAGTCCTTGTCCTTCCCTGTGTTCTATAGGGAAGGGGGAATGCTTGGATGAGAGAGGAGGGAGCTGGGACTTGGGGACTGATGCGAGAGGCTGGGCTGCTCTGGGGAGGCACTGGGTGAGGGGGGTCAGAGCAGTCACTTCCCTGCCCATGTCTTCTCGGATCTCACCTTCTTCCGTTTCTGGGACACCTCACTCTCCTGGGGTTTCTTCCTCCTGCTCCATCCTGACTCCTCTTCCTTTGAAAGACCCTATTTGTTGGGGCTATGTCCTGGTCCCTTACTGTCTCCCTCCTTTCCCTGGCTCTCCCCTCTCCACACACACACACACACACACACACACACACACACACACGCACGCGCCCCCTCTGGGGAGACCATGTGCTCCTGTGCCCCAGCTACCAACGCTCTGCTACAGGCAGTTCCCAGATCACACCTCTCTACTCCAGACCGAGATCCTGCTGCCTTCTGGATGTTTCCTTCTGGAGGGTCCACAAACACAATCCATCTAAGCCTGTAGCTCACCATTCCTCCCAGCCTCCTGAAACCTGCTCTGGCCTCTTCTGAGGCACCACCATCCACCAGCTGCCCAAGCAGAAACCCAGGAGTCGGGCTCAGTTCCTCTCCATCTCCTACTCTGCACTCTCAGATAGTCAGTGCTCCAGCAACCATGTCCTGTCCATTCAATCCTCAGTAGGGCTCAAATCCACCCCCTCTGCTCTGTCCTGCTGCAGCCTGTATCCCTGGCTGCATGGCTGTTGCCGCAGCTGCTCCATGACCCCCTTTATGTACCCCTTTCTTTCTTCACTCTGTGTCCAGAAGTGTTTTCTTGAATGCATATCTGACCCTGTGACTCCCCTGCTTAAAAAAAGGCATCAGTAGATGTTTGTTAAACTCAACCCCATTCCTTGCATTCTGATCAGTGATTCCCTGGCTGTTCATTAACACACATGGTGCCTACTCTAGCCCAACTTTATGCCAGAACACTCTGAAGACACCAAGTTGGGGTAGGGAGGGAGAACAGGACATACACGTACAGGAAGCACCACTTACCCCCGAGCCAAGTCTCCCAGATCACCTGGAGACCCATGGTTGTGGGTACTCACATCCATACACACAGGAAGCAGGGAAGAGGCATGACATCTGGGTGCTGCCCCTGGCAATAGCAAAGGCTGCCCAGGAGGTCCTATGAGCAGAGTCTGGTGCTTCTGGGCAGGGAGACTATGCAGGGCCTTCCAGCTCATGCCCTGGCTTCTGGGGACCCTCTATCTTCGAGACTTTGCCCCAGTCTGCTGGCTCCTTCTTTCTTAACATCTCTGAAGTCAAACTCTCAGCATGCCTGGCTTCCTGTACTCCTGGGGGAGGGGAGGGGTAGGGAGGAGGGAGACCCAGCATGCCCCTTGGCACCAGGGCCTCGACAGGTACTTGGTCATTCTCAGCTCCTGGACTCAAAGGCCTGGTGGGCTCCATGGGATCTTGGGAGTTGAGGCCCAGGGGTTCAGGGCCCCAGACTGGACCTTCCAGCTGGGAGTGTCTTGCTTTTGTCCTCCAGAGCAAGGCTGTGTTCACCTGCTTCTCTCCCTGTGATGGGTGGAGAAAGATCAGAAGGGATCAGAACATGTGTGTAGAGGGTGTGACCAAGCCCAGATCCTGTCCTAGCGTCCAAGGACCACATCTGGGGCCAAGAAGAGGAGCTGAACTGGGTCAGGTCAGCTGGGCTGGGTGGGGAAGGCTGGGGACCAGGACCCTCAGGTCCGTCTATTGGGATCCCCAGGGGAGAGGGTAGACTTAGAGGGCTACTGAGCTGGGCCAGGGGTGCAGGGACAGAAGCTAGGATGTGTCCCAGGACTGGGACCTGGGGGTCAGGCTTGGCTGAGTGGGGACAGGTGAGGAGGAGAACAGGAAATAGGCTAGGGTCTTGGGGAGGGGCAGCTCTGACCTTTCCCTAGTCCCTGGGGTTTTCCCCATGCCCCCAGAGCCAGCCAGCACATTTCTTAATCCCACTGTCAGCCTTCCAAGAGGCCCCGCCCTCTGGGCTCATTCAAGGCAGGAACAAAAACGAGTCAGTCCTTTCCTCAGAGCCCAGCCCCACTGCCAGGAAAGGGGAGCTGACACACAACTCCGGGAGGCCTGCTTGGAGGTGAGGCCTCAACTCTCCCCACATCTCCCAGGTCCTTAGCCCCACAGTCTCTGAAGGATGACCTTGAATGTCAGCCGGAGTGGGCTGGGCGCCCAGGAACCCAGGCCGGCCTGGCAGCTCATTACCATGGGAGGGAGGGCAGTTTCCCTCCACCTGCCCTCCTCCCTCCTCCCTCTCCTTCTTCCTTACGAGCTCTGAGCTCCTCTCTTCCAGGGTCTGACGGAGCTAGGCTGATCTCAGAGACACCGACAGAGCCCACAGCAGCTCCAGGAACCCGGATTCCCTTGGCCCAAGGGGAAGCCCAGGAGCTGCCTGCAGTCATGTCAGCCCTTGGCCTGGTCATTCTGGGCCTGCTGGTGACAGTGCCACCTGCCAGCTGTCAGCAAGGTAGCAAAGGCCGGGGCCAGCCTTGGGGGTTGTGGTGTGGAGAGGGCCAGGCTGGGTGCTGGGAACCCAGGGGTGGAAGAGGTGGTCTTCTGGTCTATCTCATCACCCTTGGCTGGGACAGGGAGCAGGGACTGGGATGGCCAAATGAACCTCCAAAGACAGACACCTCTGAGCCAGGTTTCTGTCTGTGACTTGCTTCCCACAAGTGAGAAGTGGGGGAAGCAGGGGGAGATGTTGGGTCTGGGTTGGGGAGGGGGTGGAGACCCATGCTGCAGGAACAGGAATTGCCCAAGAGGTGGCTGGGTCCTGAGGACAGAGGGTTGGAGACAACAAGGAGGGTGGGAGTAGGGCCTGAGCCACCCCACAAGGGTAGGCTTGTTTCAGCGACGGGCAGTGCTGTTGGGGGTTTGCCCATGGCTTTGGCCTAAGTCTTGGTTGTTTCAGCTTCCTACCCAGGAGACAATGCCCCAGTGTAGCCCCCTCCACGCGCCTGAGCTTTTTCTCCAGCTCTGCCTCTGTCTTGCTGTGTGGCCTTGAGCAAATCACTGCCCCTCTCTGACACTCAGTTTTCTCATCCATAAAATGAAGACAATAAACCTGCCCTGCCCACCTCCCAGCGCAGCTGCCACGCAGGGGTGGGGGAGGGCTTCACACCGGTGAGGCACCACACCCGCCATCTGGTGTCTGCCCTGCTCTGTGAGGCTGCATTTGCAGCCAAAGTCTGGGGACTCTGCAGGTGGGATTTAGGTCCAGAGGGCGTTGGCAGAGATGCTTTCAGAACACCCTCTTCTTTGTTTTTTGGGGGAAACAAGGAGTCTAAAATACTGCTTTCGGGCAAGTATGGAACTGACAGTAATCACACTGGATATCTCCTGTTTCCCAAAGAGATAAGTGAGGTCTGATCTGGCCACAGAGAGTTTCCAGAACCCTCCCTCCTTCCCAACACCTGCCAGGCTCAGAGAGAGCTCAGGGAAGAGGCAAGGCCTCACTGCAGCAGGAGAGCTTTTGGGTAGACTCAGGGAAGGACTTTTGAGTGGGAGTGAGGCCTAATGAGGTTTTGATGCCCAGCCTGGCCCCTCAAGATACAAAATGGCACTAGGGGTGCACATGTTTTGGCCTGGAGGCAGGACCCTTCAAAAGTCTGCTGTCTGCCTCTGTCCCCTCCTGAGACATCTGCCTGCTACTATGTGTCTCTCCAGGGCCAGGCTCCCCGGGCTCACAGAGCACAGTGATATCCGGGGAGAAGAGAGCCCACCAGTGGCCGGGGCAGAGACTTCTGGGAAATCTTGAGAGTTAGAGGTGGTGTCAAGGAGCAAAAGGCAGAGAAGGAGAGAATGAGGCCTGACCTGGTCTCTGGCCCAGTCCCATGGGCACACAGCCAGAAAGGGGCTCGGGTTTTGAAGCTCATTTTCTGGCCCCCAAGACCTGGAAGAGGGCTCGCCACTTAGTCTGTCTTGCTTTTCCAAAGATGTTCTGTCCCACCCCTTTCTCTGGGCAACCCTGGCACCCGACGCTGAGTAGCCCTGCCTGCCCTGCGTTCCCACGTCTACCCAATGCCAGGAAAGCCTCTGTCACAGAACAGGCTCTTCCAGATGCCAGCCCAGTCCTATTAGTTCTGGGCCGCCCCAGCCTGCTGGGAGCTGGGGAGGAGGGGCGCCGCCCTCCCAGGAAGGGCCTAGGCCAGCTGTCCAGGGGGCTGCCCTTTGGTCCCTGGGGCCTAGGCACTTCCTGGGGGCCCTGCATGTGCCCCACGGCCAGGGGTGGGGGCTGGGGAGGGAGAGGAGGCTCTCAGGATTGTTCCCTCCTTGGCCTCTCTTTCCTTTTTCCAATTCCTGTCTTCCTCCAAACCATCAGCCCTTCCGTAAGCCTGGTGGGGGTCAGAAGGGTCCTTGCTCCCCACAATGTCTCTGGGCCTGGCAGCAGGCTGATGGCCTCTAACACAGCCCCTGCTCCGCGGTGTGAGGCCCCCTGCCCTGTTCTGCACGGGCAGTCCCCAGTGTGCCCAGCCTGCCCCACTGCCCCGTTTCCAGGCCTGGGGAACCTGCAGCCCTGGATGCAGGGCCTGATTGCCGTGGCTGTGTTCCTGGTCCTGGTTGCAATCGCCTTTGCTGTCAACCACTTCTGGTGCCAGGAAGAGCCGTGAGTGCTGCCTGGGGGCCCTGGGGGCTGGGCCGGCACAGGCAGGGTGGGCCCGGGACCATGGCCATGGGTCTTATAGCAGAGAGAAGGGCCACGGAAACCCCAAGTCCAGTCCTCTCACACTGTGGAAGGGACACTGAGGCCTGAGGTCTCAAGGAGCAGAGCTCAGGCATGTGGCACCCAGCTCTGTGAATGCACTCACTGCGAGCTTCGGGGAAATGTCTTCTCTTCTTGGGATCCTGGTGTTTCCATCTGGATAGTGGGGACAGTGGCCCATCCTGTGCCATGGGCTGTGAAAACCTCTGGAAAGGAAGGCTCTGCCCTTCTTCAGGGTCAGCTGCTGTACCACACGTGGAGGGTGCAGAGGGGCAACGGGCAGACACGACTCCTGTGCTCACGGATGCCCGGACAAGAGGGAAGGCAAACGTGGAAGGGGCCATCCGAGTGCAGGTTCTGATGCTAAAGCAGCTTATGGAGCACAGTCCTGGCCTGACTGTGAGCTCGGGGGTGGTCTGGGGGCAGTCGGAGAAGGCTTCCTATTAAGTGTTTGCCCTGAAGCCCTGTGAGGAGCAGCGCAGAGGGAGAAGAGCACTGCAGCTGAGGGAAGAGTCGCTGGATGTCCTGAGTGCTGGGCGGAGCACAGAGGTGGAAGGGGCTGGACTGAAATCCAAGCCCGCTCGGAGCAAGGCTGCACAGGCGCCCAGCTCTGCACAGGTGGCCTGGGGCCTGGGTGCCAGCAGCGGCCCTACACACTGCCCCGAGGGAGAACAAGCAGCTCACGGGTGGCGAGAGGGATGGGGAGGCCCCAGAAAGGCTGCTGAGGGACACAGAACACAAGAGATCTGGACATGAGATGGGGACATGTTAAATCTGTGGTGCCCATGGGCGTCCAGGGAAAGATGAGCAGTGGGAAGGGTCCCCATGACCCTCGTGAGAGCGGTGTCTGGGGAGGTGGGCCAGAGTCCACACTGCAGGGAGTTTAATCTTGAATAAGAGGCGAGGAGATTTTTTGTCGGTAAATTTTTTTTTTTCCCCTCCACTGGTCTAGGCTCTGCCTTCAGCGGCTGCTCCTACCACCTGAGGAAAATCTTGTGGAAATCTGGGGCAGACATTGAGTCCTCCTGGGTCTGCTTTGGGGTGGGGCTGAGGCCAGAGGGAAACAGCAGAAGGAGGCTGGGAGGCTGTGGTGTGAGGCCTGAGATACACTTTGAGAAAATCTCAGGCCGGGGCCCAAGGCCCCCACCACGGAGCAGGGTGAGAGGCCCCATGGAGTGAGAATCAGGCTGCTGACAGGGCCCGCTGGAGAGGGGCTTCTGCCCTAGGGCCTAGAGAACTGGGCCTGAGTGGACAGGGAGGAGGAGGAGGCCCGGAGGAGGAAGGGACCCAGGGAGCCCTACTGATGAGCCCCATCCCCAGGGAGCCTGTGAACATGGTCACGCCTGTTGGAAACAAAGCAGATGGGATCCTGGTAGGAACAGACGGCAAGTACTCCTCGATGGCAGCCAGCTTCAGGTGAGATGCTGGTAAAGGGCTGACCACCCTGTGCTCCAGGGGCCCCGGGGACCTCAGGACCAGGCACTTCTGAGAAGGAGTGGGCAGGAAGGATGGGGACTCATGTGGGGAAGGACTCAGTGAAGAGAGGGGGTTCAGTGTGGGGGAATGGTGAGCCATAGGGCACTGAGAGGATTGCAGGGCTCCCCGAGGGCATGCAGCCTCAATTTGGGGAAAGGGTCCAGTAAGGGGATGGGCACTTGAAGAGGGGAGGGGCCCCGTGGGTGGATGAGGACTCATAGGGAGGGGTGCAGTTGGGAAAAGGGGCTCAGTGGGGGAAGGGGACTCTGAAGGGATGAGTGGGGGACTTGGTGTGGGGGGAGGGGCTCAATGGAGGAAGATGGGGTTCAGGGAGGTGATGCTGAGAGGCCTCTGGCCTCAGGTACAGAAGATCAGATGTGGTCAGGGGACAATGCCCTCCCAAGTGCAGGATGGGGCAAGGAGAAGGGGATGGGGTGGAAGGTGCAATGACCTCTGTCATCCTCTTTCAGGTCCAGTGAGCATGAGAATGCCTATGAGAACATCCCAGAGGAGGAGGGCAGGGTCCGCAGCACCCCCATGTGACTCCTGCCCAGCTCACCACCCAGGCCCCTCCCTCTCTGTACAGGAATCTGCAGTAACGGGCCAACTCCTCCAACCCCCACACCTGCCCTGCCCTCCAGCCAAGGTCGGAGCTCAGACTATCGGGGCTGGGACTCAACTCTGTCTCTGGGGTCGGAGGTCTCCTACCCAATTCAATTCAGAAAACCCTTCTGAAAAGGAAGCTCAGCTCGGCACCTCCATCCAGCCTCACTGCTCCTTCCCCCTAACTGTGGAAATGGCCCTTATTTCTGTGAAATAAAGACATTTTGTACTTCTGAGTCTGAGGCTCCCAGGGCTCAGAAATGGCCCCTCAGGCTCCAGTGAGGCCTGATCTTGCTTTCTGAATCAGGACAATCACCTCCCCAAACCACTATCATGGTGATTCTGGAGGATTTCCCAGGCAGCCCTCTCTGGGAGAATCCCTGGGCCAGGGAGCTCACCCCTTGTTTCAGGCAGAGACCCTCCTCCAAGGCCCCCTCCTTTGACCTGCCCTTCACAACTGCAATTCTGGGCAATCCTGGGCTTTTCTTCATGCAGCCCAACACCCTGACACCCCTGCCTCCATGTCACCTGGCATCGTGGTGGTTCACTCATCTCTCACCCACCCAGCTCTTTCCTCCTTCCCACATCCCCTCTGGGCTGGGCATCGGGCACAGGAAGCACCGGCAAAGAGTCTTGGGCTAGGACCAGGAAGCCCACATTTGAGTCTGGGGTCCCCCACCAACTTGCTGTGTGACTCTGGGAGAGGCACTGTCCTTTCTGAGCTCAGTTAATCCTCTGTGGAGGATTGGCCAGTTTCACCACAAAGCTCAAGTAGAATCATCCTCACCAATGCCACTGACTCCCAGTCCTGGGTGGAGGTGGGGCCAAGGAACTGGGTCCCTGGGGGAAGGAAGCAGGAGGAGAGAGAGGACCAAGGAGGGAGAGGACTGAGGAGGCATGACTCAGCTGGGCTGCTTGACCCTGGAGGCCCCTCACCTCTGTGACTGTCATTCTTATGAGAACAGCTTCTGTCCCCCTGTCTGGGGTGACAACATGAGGGAGGCTCCCCCAGGAGAACTCCCAGATCCAGAGGAGAGGGCCTGGAGGGTAGAAGGCAGCCCACCTTGTCCCAAAGGTCTCCCCCTCCCCCCCTGCCACTTGTCTCAACCTGTCACAGCCCCTCGTTTCTCCATTACAGCCGCTACTTTGCTATTCCAGAGCTTCACCCGTCTACCCCTGGGAGACCCTTCTGAATTCCAAAGCATCCCTCTCACCTCACTGGGGCCCAGTCTGCAGCCTGCAGCAGAGGGAAGACCCCTGAGCAGAGGGCTGGCTGGGTCTTTGCTCTACTATGTGACTTGGGCCTGGTGGCTTCCCCTCTCTGCGCTTCAGCTCAGTGAATAGTGTCTGTGGCTTTTGGGATTCCCACTCTAGGCTTTTGCCATGTGGGTGGATGCATTTTCACCCACCTCTGCCAGTTTAAACTCTGCATATTCCTTTTTCTTGGCTCTGCCTAGGTTCCTTTTCCTCTAGAAGTCTTCCTTGGTTAGATCAGAGGGTGCAGTCATGTGACCAGCCAGCCCAGACTCTTACTTATTGAAAGAGAGATGGAGGTTCCTAGAGGGCCCCTGCTAAAGGCACAAACACCCTCTTCTTCCTTTTCAGCCTCCTGGTCTGGACCTTTTGGCTGCCTGGATCTGATCCTCCTTGCATGAAACTACCTTGCCTCCCACCTCTGCCCCGTGCTATCCCTGGGGGGTTCCAGTCTGACCCCTCAGCGGCCTGCCAGGTCCCTCCGTCTCCCTCCAGCCCCTCACACATGTTAGGTTTTACCACAGGGGCCTGTGGTAGCTGCCGTCCTGCCCTGGTGCCCAGGGCAGAATCCCCAGCACCCTGCCTGGGCCTCTCTAGGAACCTCGGTAGCCCCCTCCCCATGGGCAGGACCAGGATGGTGGGAACTCTGGTGGTCCTTGCAGGTGCTGGGCTGGCACTGACCTTCCCCCCACCTCGTGTTCCTGCCTTGACAGGGGGCAGGGGGCAGGGAGCTGCCGGCCGCACAACTGCCCAAGCCCCCAGTCCTTATCGCTAGTTCCCACCTGCCAGCCTGGCCAGATGAGGGAGGGAAAGGAGGCTGGGCCTGGGCCAGGGCGGTGCTTAATGACCCTCCAGGGGCCTAATCGCAGACTGGCAGCCACTGAGTGGCTCGGGCTGGCTCCTGGAGGAGGCTGATAACACACCAGCTGGGCCCCCCACCATCTATCGGGGCTGCACAGCCAGTCCCCAGGGGGCGGTGCTCAGGGGGCCTGGGAGGGGGAGCCTCTGGGCTGGGGCGAGGCGGCAGGGGAGGTGGGGATGCTCTCTGAGTGCCCCTCCAACAACCCCGCCTGGGGGAAGGGGATTCTGAACTCCTTGATTGACAGACAAGGGGGAGGGTGCCCCTTCAACCCCTTCCTGCTCTTCCCCACCCTTTTATGCCCAGGCAGGACCTCCCTACCCAGACCTGGCCTCCCCTTTGGCTCTCCCAGCCTTTATCGATCTCTGTCTCTCTGCTTCTGTTTCCTTCTTTCTTTTCTTCCTTTCTTCCTTCCTTCCTTTCTTTCCTTCCTTCCTTTCTTTCTTTCTTTTTTTCCTTCCATCTTCTTTTTTCTTAATCTTTTTCTCCTTTTTTTGTTTTTGTTTCTATTTTTTCCCTCTTTTTCTTTTTATGTATGTATGTACTTATGTTTTTGCTTCTATCTCTGAGTGCATCTCTCAGCCTGTTTTTCTCTCCATCTTCTTTTATCTCCTCTCTCCACCTGAACTCACTGCTCACTGGCCCTCACCTGGTATCCGCCCTCGGTTTCCAGCTGGCTCTCCCTGTTCCCCCTTCCCCGCCCTCCCCACCCACCCATGCTCTTCTGATGCCGCCGCCGCTTGGCCGGAAGGCTGGTGCCTTCACTGGAGTCTCACTCTTTGTGTAGCACCATCTCCTGCTGACCCCTCCACCCGCTCTCTGGGTGGAGTGCTCAGGCTGCCTGGGTCCTGGCTCTCAGCCCAGGAGTTTCTCTTAGTGCTTCAGGATATTCTTGCTCCTCCTGCTTTCTTGTTCTTCCTCTGCCTAACACGTGTGGATTTCACAGGGCAGCATTATTGGTTACACCCAAACCCCCCCGCACTAAAAGCTCCACCCAGGAACTGCAAAGTTGAAGGTAGATTGCAGCACTGCTTACTTCAGTTAGATCTGAAGAGGAACTTCCAGCCTGGAGTTGGTTTTGAAAAAAGGCTGTGGAATTCTAGCTTGAATGTCACCAGTTATTGAGACAGAGTGGCAGGTGGTTGGGATGATTTTCAAGACTACTTCCCTCATGCTCAGAGTGACATGAGCAGAAATACTGCTGGCTTATTGTGCTTTAAGGAGCCATCAAATCAAGGCTACTGCTGGGCAGAGTCTCTTCCCCCAGCCCAGGGCAGAGGAGTCGGGAGTCAGGGGGAGACATATGTCACCCCTTCAGATCTGGCCTTGAGCCTGGATCCCCAGCTGCGCTCTCTTCCCAGTTTTCAGTCCCCAGCAGTACCCACAGTGGCCAAGAGCTTGAGCTTAAGAATCATGCAGACTCTGGTTCAAATTCCAGCTCTGCTCCTCACTGCTTGCGGGGCCATGTGGCCTTTTAGATGCTCCGTTCACTTGCCAGTAAAATTGGTTCTGTCGTGGCTTCTCTGTGGGGCCGCTGGGAAGACACATAGGTGATGTATGTATTATGATCGCACCTGAGACTCACCAGAAGGCCCTCCAGGCTCAGCTTAGAAGTCACTTCTTCTGGGAAGATCGTTCCTGACCCCGGGGTTAGGGGCCTCCCCTGGGCTCCTCCACGCTCACCGCCGCCTGTTGTCTGTTTACTCGTCTGTGTCCAGCTCCAGGCCCAGGTCTGGGAGCTCCTCAAAGGCAGGAACAGGGTCGCTTCCCTCTCTGCCACCAGCACCCAGGACAAGGCTGGGCCCAGGGAAGGGAAACTTGGGGGGTGGAGTGGTGAAGAGACCCAGAAGAAGAAGGGACTAAGGCCCCAGTCGTCTGTCCAGCTGTCTGTCTGTCCATACCCCTCAGCCCACACGGGCGCAGACACACACCTGCATGTGCTTTCTTAAGCTGTCTCTGGCTGGAGGTCCTGGGGTCAGTGAACATCGATGCTTCATCTGGTCTTCAGTTGGGAGGGAGGGGCTGCTCTCCCCCGTCTGCGGGTAGCCTCGGCTGTCACCTGGTGGCTGCGCACTCAGTGGGACGGGCAGATGCAGCAGAGCCTTGGAACTTGATTTTCAGGGGGCTTGTCCCCCTTAAGCACTGGGACCAGGGGCCTTCCCATGGCCCAGTCCCAGGGGCCCCATAGGTTGTGCCAGCACCTTGCAACATGGGCTTCAAGGGCAGCTGGGCCTCCAGTGCCCTCTCCATTTGTCACCAGAGGCAAACTCCGTGTCGCCAGAGGCCAACTCCGTGAATATCTCAGGTTCCATGCACTGCTGGCAGGGCCAGGCTCTGGGGGACTTAGCATCCTAGTCCTGATAACACACCTCTCTTTCTCTCAGAAGTGGTCTGAGAGCCTGGTGGCCTCTGCTCTAGGGGATTATTCCAGAGAATAAAGAATGACAGTGTTTCTGGCACCCTGCTTCCTAGAGACCCTGGGCCCCTGGAGAAGCAGAATAGAGAGAGCTTGATGTGAAAGAGAGAGAGGGAGAGAGAAGGAGAGAGAGAGAAAAGTCAAGGATGAGTTGCAGTACCGTGCTGAGCAGGGCGGAAGATGGTGTCGCTACACCGCATTGGGTTGTGCAGACTACACCTCTGCCCGCAGCTTGGGGGGCCTGCACCCGCCCGCAGGGAGGGGCGCCTTTTTCTGATTCTCATGAAGGAGCCATACAGGTTAGTGGATGGCATCAGGAGCGGCAGGTGCCAGGGGACAAGCAGGAGCGTGAGGGGTGAGGATGAATTTGGACACGTGGAGCTTAGGAGCTGTGGGACAGCTGCAGGGAACGGACTGGGGGCCACTGGGTGCACAGTATGGGTCTGAAGCTCAGCTGAGCCAGACCCAGTTAATAGTTAAGCCAGAGACTTTGCCTTCTAGCTGGATGCCCACCAGGAGGTTAAGAGACCAGGTCAGGGCCAGGCAGCCTGGACACAGCCCCGTTCTGACTCTGATACCATGTGACCTTGGATAAATCAGCTCAGTGGGCTGAGCACATCTGTAAATTGGGGGCAGTACATGGCGTCTATCTGATCAGAGATGTTGTGAAGATTAAAAGAAACAATGTGCACAAACACATAGAACAG